CACTTCCTAACTAGTATTGCTCTTGAGAACACTCCCCAGCAAACTTCCAGAGGTAAATCTTGGCCTCAGAGTCTGTTTCCTGGGGAACCTAATCCAAGACAAAGTGTCAGTTATCCTTATTTCAACATAGTTAATTATACTCACCTGGAATATGCCAAATAGTTTTGTGTGGCTATTTTATATTCCTTTCCTTCATCAGACCTCTACTAGTAAATCCTATTACTGTTCAGCCTCCCAACTTTTGGCAACACACTGCACTGTCATTTTCCTATTATTGCCTCTTGACAGCATTGCATCCTGAGACATTTTGAAGCTTCAGTGTTTGGCCTTCCACTCACGCACAGAGAGCTTCCAGGGGGGTCCGCTCAGCAGTTAAGGAGAGTTTGGGAGCCTGCTGTTCCCCCAACAGCAACCTCTTAACCAGACTTGTAACATTGAAGTCTGGATAATGACACTAAACTAGGCCATATACAAGTCCTTAAATGGATGTCATAAGTGGTGCCAAGCAAACTTGTCAAAGAGCCACATTAGCTCAAAACTCCCCATTTAGCTCATCTTTTCCCATACGAGTTAAATTTTGGTCATTGTCTCTATAACATTAATTATTTCAGTACTTTGTTGATATTTTTATGCCTTCACAAATACTGAGTATGAACAGTTACTTAGTTTGATTTTATTTACACCCATAGATGCAGACATCCTGTTTCAGAAATATTAGACTAGCTACACATTTGATTTCCTAATCCTGCTAATCAATAAATTAAGCAAGTAAAATTGCTCTGGAATGAATAATAGAAATGGACCATTTCTCACCATGCCCATTGTTATTCATAGCATATACATATAGTACTTTGAGTCACCATCATCCACCCTTCATATGACCTTAATTGCCTGTAGCCTACTCTCCACCCAGCAGCCGCAATGATCCTTTAAAAAGTGTAAGTTGGATCCTGTTACTTCTCTGTTCAAAATCCTCCAAAGATTCCCTATTTGGCTGCCAACCCCTTAATTCTCTGACCTCACATTATTCTCCCTCTCAGTCATGCTGCTCTGTCACACTAGTCTCCCTGAGACCCCTGGAACATACGGGGGCACATCCCTGTCTTGGTTTCTTTGCTCTAGCTGCTCCTTCTGCCTGCAGTGCTCCTCCACCAGCTATCTGCTTAGCTCACCTTCTCACCATTAAGTCTTCACTCAGGTCTTCCCTCTCTTAAAGACCTATTCTGATCACCTGCTTCCATTGGCGGCCACCACGCCCATCTCACTCCCTGATCCCAGACCCTATATCCCCTGCCCTGCTATATTTTTCTTCTTTACATAGCACTTACTACCTTGCAGCCCCCTCAGAGGTGCATTTGTCATGAAGCTAGTGAAACGTAAGCTTCAGGGCCCCTTCCTTGCATAGGTCCCTTCTACATCTCGGGGAGAGGCCCTAGCGATGTGTACACATGGCTGCATGGTTCTGTAAGATTTGCAAACATAATACATTTTTATTATAATTGGTTAAGACCATTGTCTGTTTCCACTCCAACTTCCTCTCTGTCAAGCTTTCTCTTTCACCAAGTGGTGCTGAAATGGCTTCAGGAATTTTCGAAGTCTAGCAAAGGGGAAATTGAGTTGAGGATACATTTAGTTTGGGTGTGGCTAAATGTCATTAGTGGTCTGCAGTCACTTCGCCATACAGCTCAGTTAGTGCTAGCCATCTGGTGTGGGAAGAGCTTCCAGGTAGATGGCTACTGCCTGCTGGACAGAGTGTTGCTCTTTGACTGTGACTAGAGTGCCTGACACCAAAATATGTGAATATTGGAGGGGAAAATGGTGTGAAATTAACAAAGCCAACTAAGTTGTAGGAAATTCTTCTACATTTTACAACTCATATTTTAAAGAAATCTGATTAAGGTTTCTCCAAACTTGCCAACAGTCCTAAACATTTTTTTAAATAAAATGACCAAGTTATGAAGTTGAGAGTAGTTTTTCTAATCAATAATAAAAATATTGTTGATTAACCATGCACAAGGGAAAATGGCATTATCTTTCTATTCTTTCTCTCCTTTTAGAAAATATTATAAAATTACCATATAAAGAGGTGATCAAAGACAATTCAGCCAAATTATGTGCATTCGATAGCTTATTAATGCAAGTATTTTGGGACAGTTTCTGAATTTTGTAATGTTTTTATTATATGTAAGCTTTTAAATATGTGTAAATTATTATGGTATCTTTACTCATTTTAAGTGAATGTTTTGTATCTAGTTTTCCATCTTTAATTCTGCATTCTTTTTGTTGAAGAGAGCCCACCAAAATGTGTAAACTTCAAACCTCGTAAGACCTGAATATTCCCTGACCATACTGTATGATTTACTTAACTTGTTCTGTTCCTCATGAGTGAGAATTTTAGTTCACTTGTCTAACTTTTTAAAAAATATATATTTTTATTGATTTCAGAGAGGAAGGGAGAGGTAGAGAGAGAGATAGAAACATCAATGATGAGAGCGAACCATCAATTGGCTGCCTCCTGCACGCCCCACATTGGGATTGAGCTTGCAACCCAGGCATGTGACACTGAGCTATGCCAGTGGGGCTCACGGGTCTAACTTAAACACCTGAGCACTGCTTGGCACATGGGATAAACTCAATAAACTCATTTGATGAATGAGCAAATCACTTAACAACATTAAAATAAAATATTGACCTTAATCCAATTTAATCTTGCTCAGGAAATGTTAATATTGATGTGAATGAAAGTAAAAAGACTGTAGTTAATGGCAAACACTCCTTAAAATTCTGTACATTGCCTAATTAAGGGCGTAAAAGTAAACTTCTATTGTAGTTATTTTCTTAATTAGTCATTAGCTACCATTTTCTTCTTCTTCTTCTTCTTCTTCTTCTTCTTCTTCTTCTTCTTCTTCTTCTTCTTCTTCTTCTTCTTCTTCTTCTTCTTCTTCAGAATACTTTTTCTAGACATAGAAAGGAGGACTTGTTAGAAGTTGTGGAGAAAGCAGTGAGCTAGTGATGCTGCTAGGTGTTGACCAAGTCCTATTTGCTTTCTCAGTTTGGCACTTGGCACTCACACTCTCATTTTCTAGAATATAATTTGCTGCACTCTGATTTCACGTCTAGCAAGTCTTGACAAAGGAACATCAATATGTTCATCTAACTGAGCTTTTGTCAACACTAACCTTGCAGAATTGCATGCGGCTAGAATTGTGACCTTAACTGTTCAATTTCTCTATTGAAGAGTTTTGTTCCAGATTAGGGCCCTGAAGGGATTGTTGGGACAGTAAGATTTTCCTCCTACTTCATTTCCCATTGGTTTGCTGGCCACAGTTGGGTTTATGAAGTTCCTCGCAAAATTAGGTTTCTTGCTTGGAATTGTATCTTTGCGGGGGTCTTTCTCAGCATCTAGAAGGGTTCTGGAATCTGGAGAAGGGCTGTGAGTAAATTAATAAAGAGGCTAGACATGAAATATAAATTTGGAATACATGGGGGAGCAGAGGAGACCTAGCTTCAGTAACCAAGTTCCCTGAATCTCTGGACCCTTCACTCTTTATTAACACAAATTGCCCTAAGGCAAAGCAGATATACATATCAAAGGCAAGGTTTGGTATACAGTAGGCATTGTCAGGTTGGGGGAACTACCCTCAGCTGTCAGGCAGCAGGCAATAATATATGCAAATCTTTAGGTTTGGGGAAATGCTTTCAGTTATTCCAGCAGGCAATAACATTATTCAGTCTGCTGAATATAGAAACCCATCAACCTTTTGAGGACTTCTTGCATTTTATTATGCCATGCTGGAATTAGCTTCCAGCATATCTTTACTTAGAAAAGAGATTTAAAATAATCCCTGGTAGCAAAAGACACTATAGGGTGTGGAATATCACCAAATCAAGGCTGAGAGCTATACCTTCTCCACTGGACCATCAGTGTGATGAAAAACTCCAAATAGAGATGGACCCGCAGTTCTTGAACTGTTACTCCTTTTTTCTTTTTAATCCCCTCCCCCTCCTTTTATGTGTATAGTCTGAGAAAGTGCTATTGAAGCACAGTATTTCCCAAACCAGGTTAGGACCTATTAAATAACCCTTGAACTATCTTAAAAGTAAAACAGATTTCTTTCTTTATAATAAGTTATTGCCCCAAATCATCTTCTCTGGAAATAGTGCTAGAAATACATAAAATGGCTACCTTGATGTGGTAGGTCTATCAGAAAGGGAAGAAAATAACTTTTGAGAAAAAAGAAACAAAATAAAAAGCAAGCATTTAAATTACTCATCAGGCCTCTCTTGGCCTGCTTCCTTTCTTTCCAGGTGAATGGCACACCCACATGGGCCCTCAATGTGGTCAGAGGGTGGAGTTCACTTTAGTTCCCTCCTTTGAGACTGGTTTGTTGGGATACTTTAGATTAGAATGTTTGCTAGCGTATTTGTTTGTTTAGCGGCTGTTGCATAATGTCTGTTCTCAACAACTTGTCGAATATATGCACTTAAAGTGGATGGCTTTCATAGTACTATTTTGCAATAAATCTGTCAGGTTGAATTTTCTGTTAATGAGTCAATAGATAAACTGAACACTGGTCTATTTTAAATATAAATCAGACGTCCCTCATGTATGTTGTGGCTTTATGTTTTTCAAGAAGAATGAAATGAGCTAGTCAGTTGGTGTCTAGCTGAGCTTTCTGATGCGTGATTCCTCCTTTAATGTCCGCATTTCATTCTATGTTAAGATTGTAGGGAGTGCTAGTCAGTTTAAAGACGCTGAATCCGAAAGAAGAAATGAGGGGCTTTTTACTATTCTAGTCCTGTTGGTTTTCATTGCCAATTGCCTGCACATGTTCATACAGGAGGCCTTGCTTCGCACAGTTCCTGTACCCATGACTTTCATTCGACCCCCTGTTGTGCAAAGCCAGGACCGTTTGTGTTTATATATGTATGTATGAATATGTGTACGTATGTGTGTGTACATGTATTTATTTATATTTTTGAATGTACTTATTTTTCAGGTACTTGAAAATGGTAAAGACACTGGAGAGATCTCTATCTGTATCAGCCAAAAAGATTTGGTGTCTAATAGCCCAAACCAAACTGGTGATATGATGGAAAAAGTGAGTGTACCGACTGTTCATTTATGATCTTGTCATTAATTTAGATAATCACATCTTTAAAGTTATTTAGAAAAGATCAGTCATTTGCTGGTCTGTAAAGATTGATAATCTTAAGATCTGACTTCTGAATTCCTTTGGCTCTCTGTTAATCAACTCGGGCCGCTTATTTAACAGCATCTTAACCTTCATTATGCTTGTATTTGGAAATCTGTCTACACTGGACTCTGGGATTGCCCTCTTGTTTACACTTTGAAAAGAAGTGACATGATATTCAGTGGAGGGTATGTTCTGGATTTAGGGTGTTCCCAAGCCCAAGACCCTGAGCGACTAACATGCAGCTTTGATCTCCTATGCTCATTGTGGGCAAGTCCAAATAGTTTTGCTTAGACACTCTTACCTTTATTTTCCAGACCATTGGGATGTTTCTCAGGCAGAGTCAACATATTCAGGACCTTTATTTGGGGTCTTTGTCTTGCATAAAAAGACACTGAATACCCCTGTTGTTTACAAATTGGGGTTATGCGCCCCAGCGCACACCAGTGTTTGGGGCTCTGTTGCTTGGCTTTTGTTTGGAACTTGCTTCTTCCTCTCCCCTCTTGAGTTCAGCACCCTCTGACTTGCCTCTCCCTGGTGGTATCTATTACCTGGCTTTTACGGTCAGCCACTAAAGTTGCATAAAATTAGAAGACTCTTATCTGATCATTAGTTTGGCCCAGAAGAGAAGGGAAATGCTACCTTCATTAATTAGAGAGAGAAGGGTCAAGAGTCTTGGCTGGTTTCTTTTTACCATCACATCTCTGACTATTTAAAACTACCATGATATGAAAGTTTTCCTAGAATTATCTACTTGTCACCCCCCTCCCCCCATTTTCACATTAGGATACTTTACTCTTTGGTTCATATTAAATTGAAGATGGCATTTATATTATTTTATATAGGAAGCTAATACTCTGTAGGAATTTTTTGAGTTGGCTTGTGACACATTGAAATGGACTGTTCTTTGCTTCTATAATATGCAAGTTAATCTTGGGGGGCCGGGGGAAACTTGAATTAGGAACACGGCAAAGCTCTTTGGGAGATCCCTGGTGACATTCAAGGATGTCTGTTTCCTTGGTGCACACGTGTCTCAGTCATGAGCCTAAACTGTTTCATACTCTTCTCAGGTTCCTGAACAAATTCTTATCCTATAAAGTCCTGGTGATGATAGTTTTAAAGGTAAATGGGTGACAAATATCACATATATTTGGTCACTGCATTCTAGCCTTAACCAACTACCTTGAGATGAAAGGCACTGAGGCCCCGCCTCCTGGAAGCTGTGGGATGCTCATCTTTGAAACCCTAAAAGGCAGTCTGTCACCAAGTTGAGAAGATGGAGATCGAGATTTAAGTCCAGTGAAAGTGTATTTTGTTTTGTGGTCAGGCATTCACATACTTTCCTACCACACATTCCCGTTCTTGGTGTACACATTTCTCTCCTGGACTAGAAATCATTCCCTTTTATAAAAAAGGCGATGACTATAAAACAAAATCACTGTGATTTTAACAATGATCAGCATTGCTTGCTTTTCCAACATAATAGCAAGGCAACAAAAATAAGCTCAATGGCTGAGACTGCACAGATATATATGTAGGGTTTTGTGAATTCAATATATAGATTTTCAATACATGTTTGTGATTCCAGTAAAAAAATGCAAACTCTTACAATTCTAACATCTTTGCCTATTATACCCCTAAAGAAAATAGTAGCTATTACTTGTAATTCAAAGGATTTGACGATACTGTGTGAGAAGTATTAACTTTATTGAAATAAAAAATGTGTTATCATTTTCAGCCTTTCTGATGCTGAAAATCTGGTCAATATAGAGCTTTTGAAAACAATGTAGAGCTGATAAAATTAGAGATATAATTATTTATCTCTAATTAGGACAAAGCCTAATTCTTAGGTATTCTACAAATATAGTTGCTGATCAAAGAAAATATTTTACTCAGTCAAGAGTTTAGAACCAATAGGAGAGGAAACTGGCATATATGACAAGATTGCAACTTTCTCTTCTTTCCTTTGAGCCTTGGCATTTAACACATCCCAATATACCTCCATGGAAATTAATAGAAGGAGTGAAAGAGGCGCCCTAAACAGAACTAGGCAAGGAAAGTCCACAGCTATATCTGCATCCCTGCCAAGATTACAGAGTAACAAGAAATTGAGAGACACAGGAACTGACAAGGGAGAGAAGAAAAGGAAGCCTGTGACAGAAGGCTAGGCTCGGGGTGAGGGTCGGGGGATAACAGAATGATGGATAGTGTGGGGCACAGAGTGGGAAAGAGTAGAGGCCTAAACACTCAAAGGTAACTGAAAATAATGAAAAAGTCTTTTAAAATGCCATCTGCAACCCAGTTCTGTTGTATTTACTTTCATTTGAAATATGCCTTAAATTAGAAATATTTTGATAATCCAGAGACCCTAAAGGTAAGGTAGATGCAAACACTGACAATGCTTGTACTTAAATTATTAAATGACAGCATTTCATACTTCACACTTCAGTTATATCTTATTTACAACTTGAAAACATCTCTTATTGAAGTGGCTCACAAGCATTTGCAGGGCCCTTCATTAAAATACAGCCAGGAAGAGTCCTTCTGAAGCAACCTGGGTTGAAAGTCATGTTTATTTTTGCAATCCAGATGGTGAATTGCTCGACCATTGGTTATCTCAGGTTAGTGGGGATAGGGAGACCACCCATTGTAAAACCTGAACATGCTCTGCAAGGGCCCTAAGAGAATGTGTAGCTCCCACAAGAAAAGCATAACCCTCATCAAAGAGGACTGTTACCATGTGTAGAAGCTAAACGCTCTTCCTGTAAAACTGTCACATCTGCTTTCAGTCCCAGCGCCAAAGGGTCAGAGCTCAATCACAAGCCTGTGGCACCCCCTGCTGGTTAAAAGCCCATGCTCATTTTGTTACTTTGCTTTGAGCTAAACACTGCCATCATTTCACACTTCTTTTAGCATTCTATATGAATTTAATTATCATTTGTTTGGACTTCATTTGTTACAGAGTAAAGACAGTTTATTACAGATGTTCACAATTTATGTAATTCTTTCTTCTTCTTCCTTATTTTCCCCCACCACCAGTTACTTCTCAGGATTCATCAAAGGCTTCAAGGATCTTCCATCAACCCACCAGGCCTCAATTTTTCTTCAACACGGCTTTTCGATGAGCATGGTCAAGAAATTAAGAATCCACTTTTGCTGAAGAATGAGCAAAAAATTTGGGTCTCTTATGGTAAAGCGTACAGGTAGGAGCGAGGTGTTTCTTCTGTCTGTCCTCAGTCTCTTCTGGGGCAAACGAATTTAAAAGGAGAGTTGAGAAGCCAAGAGCACCATTTATGAAATTTTTTTTAAATTTTGAATTCCAATAAAATGTGCTTTTTTTTTGTGAGGCAGTATTGTTTGTGAAATTTGTCATCTCTATCTCTCTCTTTCTATCTCCATCTCCCTCTCCTCTCTCCCTCCTCTCTCTCTCTCTCTCTCTCTCTCTCTCTCTCTCTCTCTCTCTCTGTCTCTCTCTGACTTTTCTGTCTTAATGCCTTGTCATAGTTCTTGAAGTCTGCCTGTCAGCACAGCAAGTGGGATTTGTTCATGTCTGAGTAGTCACCTTAATGATAGCAGATGGAAACGCCACGGGGGGCCCAAGCCCATCACACTGTCATTGTCGCACACTGCCCTGACCTGCTTCCACTCCTCTATTTTTTGTCCTTTTTTAAAGAAGAAATGGATGGTAATTGAAAAGGATTTTAAGCAAGATTTATGAAGCTGTAGACAACATGATTCCCTACTATCTCTCTGTTTTCACAAATAAAGTCTTAACCTTTTAAGCACCAATGACAGAACAGCTAGAGATAAATTGGTAAAGCTCATAAGCTCTATCGTATCAAAGTTGTATTTCTCAAAGGCGCCTTATATTATCCCACAATAATTACTGGTTATTGCAAAGTGTTGTGTAAATTTTTGTAGATTGGTAAATTCCTGCATACAATTATTTGTGTTTCTGAGGAAAGAAAAAGGGTGCAGTCTGTAGGCACTGATGAGCTGGGCTGTGTGTGGACTGTCTTGGAGATTTATGCATATTTTGACAGAATACATCCAGATGAACTCTGAAACTGCTTGTTAGGAAACTTAATACACTTTTCTGCCTTCTCTTAATTTTTTTTTAGCTCTTTATTTGTGGAACACAATAGAGGACATGGGGAAAATAATTTTGCTTTTAGAGTATAATTGATCATAATTATAATGAAAATAACCTGGACAGAGCTAGAAGCTAATTGAATTTGACTATATTCTAATAGTCAAAATTTTAAGTATGGAAATAAATTTACTCAGAAGTCCATGATGGTTTTGGAAGAAGTTGAGAGGATTAGTGTTGGTAATATACTACAAAATTCTATTTCACCTGTCCTAGTAGAATAAAATTAAAATACTTAATAATTTCTAATGGTGTATAATTTATAAAACTCAAAATATCTGTAAGGAATGGTGTTTTTCCCCAAAGGCAGATTTCAAAATACATTTTAATTGCACTGTGAAAATGGTTTTTGCATGATACAAACAGCAATGAATTTTATTACAAGGAAAGATTTTTAACTAAAATGTTTGGCTAGTAATCTCTTCGTAAATATCATTGTTAAAGTGAAAGCAATGACTGACTAATTTTGATGTTTTTATTGATGTTTGCTATACTACTGGATTTTAATAAGCTCAAACACTTGTTTTTGGTTATTTGTATCATATTAGTGGAATAACTAATAGAAACGCTAAGTATATTTGAAATAACTCCAAAATCAACTGAGGATTATAGCTGGAGGAATCCATAGTCTATATATTTATTTATTCATTATTGTTATTTTAATAGGATAATGTATTCTTTTTCTGGTTTTGAATCTAATATGAGGCACTTGAAAACCATTATGCATTTGCTATTATTGGGATTTCTAAAATTTATGTCTAAAAAGTTATTTCCATCCCAATTTAAAATATATTGAGAAAATGTGCAATGTGTACTAAGTACATGATACTCATTTTTAGGGAGTAATTCTAACTTGCTTAGTATATGTTGATATGGGGGATTAGGTTACTAACTTACGAAAGATGATATTGCCAATGTCTAGTTCAATTTTGAGTTCTTTAATTATTTTCTCCCAATTTTTATTTAGAAAAATGTCAAATCTACAGACAACTTGAAATGATAATACAATGAATATCTATATATCCCTTCACCAAGGCTCAACAATTTAAAGTTTGCCACATTTATTTTACCGCTTTTTTTAAATCTCCTCTCTCTTTTGAATGGTTAGAAATTAATTTCAGACAATCATTAAAGTTTTACTCTTAACTGCTTTAGGTCACATAGCTGAAGAATTATAATTATTCTTCTATATCACCACATTATAATATCTAACATAGTCAACAATAATGTGATATCACCTAATATACAGATTATATTCAAACTACCCAAAATGCGCTTTAGAGCTATTTGTAACCTGGGATCCAAATAAGCTTCATGTATTGCACTTAGTTATTTTCTTTAGTTCTCTTCAATCTAGAATATTCCTCCACCTTTTATTTTGTTTTTCATGACATTGATTTTTTTAAAAAGAGTTCAGCACTTTTCTTGTGGAATGTCCCATATTCTGGATTTTTCTGAGTGTTTTCTCATGATTAGATTCAGTTCAAGCATTTTTTATTATACTATACAAGTGATATGGTTGAGTCATATAATTATAAAGTTAAATAGCAAGTTTTTGTCATCAATTTAGAAAAAAAATCTCATATTTGACATAGTGGCCATTCTTATTTTTAAGATGTTTTCCATCTGATTTATTTTTTCTTTATTTTATTTCAATCACCATTTATCCCCCTATATCCTCTTTCACCCCCCTCCCCCCATCACCACACTGTTTTTTGTGTCTATGAGTTCTTTCCCCTTTTTCTTCTTTTTTGCTCAATCCCTTCACCCTCCTTCTGACACTCCCCCACCAGAGCTGGCTGCCTGCTCTCTGTCTATGAGTCTTTTTCTATTTTATTCTCAAATATTTAAATTAACCTAAAAATGTCCCTAACAGTATGTAAAATAAAAAACAAATTAGCATAACATTTAGTTAGCCCATAAGGAAAAAAGGTTGTTTTTAATCAAATATTAAGGATTTATTTAAATATCAGATCCAAAGATTATTAATGGCGTATTGCATTGTAGCTACACATTGATGAACATCATTTAGTTATACAGGATATAGTTATTACAAAATGAACACTATATGAAAAAATGGTTGTTTTTCTCCACTAAATATTTTACTTTTATTGTTTAAATTATTTTTAAAAATATTATGTGTTACAACTATCCTTGGCATATTATAAATCAGCCAAATAAAGTAAAATGTGCATTTAAGATTTTTGGATTTTATTAGACACTGATATTTTATGTTTTAGTATTTATTTGTGCTCAAATTTCAGTGTTTGCATAATTTTGCAGATAGCTTTGATTTTTTTTTCATTTTTCAGATCTCCATGGAACCCTGTTTTGAGTTTGACCTTTGACCAGGTGACTGCATTTGCCAGAGGTGGCATTACAATTGCGTATAAAACCTTCTTGGATCCCAAAGCTGTTCTGCTACCTGGATGTGACAAGTAAATTAATGTGTGCTTGGTTAGATTAATCTGAATCATCTAAATTCAGATTTTCCAGAGTGAGAGATTAAAACAGTAAAAGATGTTCTTTGAATCATCTTACATAAACAATTATTTATTTTATTGACTTATTTCATGATATAATGAGCTAATGCCTAAAAGACTTAATCATTAACATCATTAACTTTCCTTGAGTTTTAAAAAAACGTATGGGCCAATGAGCAGATTATAGTTTCAGCTTTGCAGATGTGATAATTTTATTTGAAATGAAAAAGCTTTTTTAGTGCTTCCATTCTAATATTTGCATGGAATCATTAAATTCTCATATAGTATGTTTATACATGTGTTCATATTTAAGGATCTCATTTGATGATAAATTAAAAACAAAAGCAATATGCTGGAGGCTTGTTGGGATAGTGAGAAGAAGAGCAGGAGGTAGAGGGTTGGGCATCTTGTCTCATATCCGCTTATAATTGTCCATGGGAAGATGGGTGTCTGTCTTGCCTGTAAAAAGATAAAACCCAGCATTCCCTGAGTGTTAACCATAGTCCAGGCACAGTTTTAAATGAATTGGGTAGAAATAATCTAATCCTCAAGACAATTATTTTGATCACATCATTACATGTTATCCTGTTATTACTTCATTTTATAGAGACAGAAACCGAGGCTCAGAAGGGCAAAGGAATTTGCCCAGTCACACAACTGGTACAAGATAGATCTCAAATTCTAACCCAGACTGTCTTTCTTAAGAACTGAGGGGTTTAAACACTATCCTGCACTGTCTAACAGAATTTTCTGTGATGATGAAAACATACTTTGTGACTATTGAGAACTTGATGTCTAACTAATGTGACTGAGGACCTGAATTTTAAATTAAATGCATTTTAATTAAAATAGGAATATGTGGCTAGTGGCTACTGTATTGGACATCGAAGCATGTCCAATACTATGTTGGCTTATGTGATCTATCTGTAAGGTCCTACCTAGCTTTAATATTTTATAATTTAACAAATCACAACTTTCCTTAAGATGTAAGTGAAAAGACTGAGGTAGAGGGTAGATCCACAAAACCAAAGGCAGTCTGATGAGGTCACAGTCTAGAGTCAACCTATTGCTACATATGTCCATGAAGACCAACTCTTCCCCCAATGACTGCCTGCCATGTATTAGGCAAGATTTGAATCTCTTTTGTCCTGTTCTGTTTCTTTATGCATAGAAATAACTCATCAGCATTCTTTTTTTTTAAAATAGGCATTTCCATTTATGAGATGAATTTCATGTGCAATGATCTTTCTCCAAGCTGTTACATTTGCCTCGACCCTTCAATTTTTAGCTAGGAGTTTAATTTTAAATTCATGTATTCCTTCTTAATTTTACTTCCCAGGTGCAATAAATATTGTTTTAGTGAGTGGATTCAAATTAGATTTAGCTCCTTAAGAACAACAATATGAAACTGCCTGGCCTTATTGAACTAATTTGAAAATAATTTCCTTAATATTTGGATTCCATTTGAATTTTCTTTCTTTACTCTAAAGTGTATCATTTGAAATCCTAATGATCATATTCTTACTTGTATTTCTCAGAGTATTGAAAAAATACTATTACCAGCCCACAACCTGTTGAATAGCAGCATGTTCTAGGATATGTCTTAACATATCAATGTTGAGCCAAGTAATTTTCTTTAGAGTAGGGATTTGCTCACTTTTAAAACAAGTGATTTGGCTGAATTAAGAATGGCACTCAACACCTCCAGTTTGTGGTTTGTCCATGTACCCACTAGACTGTTGCCTCTTAGGATGTTCTTAACAATGACAAACTCATGCTTAGCACAACTATCATAAGTATAAAAACATCCTTTATTATTCATACTCCATTGTATTTAGAATATGAATGTAACAGTGAAGATGGCCTCAACTATGAGTGATTCTTTAAGAATAAAAGTCATTTTTTTGTTTCTTTGTTCTATTAATAATTAATTAGGCATGGAATCCCCCACTGTCATAAATAATTGCAAGGTAAAAATGTAAAACTTTCCCTTTCCCATTTATCGATACCAAAGCACTTTACAATTTTTTTGTTTAAAATTATACATTGAGTTTTCTCTTACTAGTGGAGTATAAAATGCATAAATTATTATACTAGTATATTAAAGAGTATTATAAATAAATATATTTTATTCTAGCAAAAATAATCAAATGTTTCACTTTTTTTAGTTGGGAAGTTTGTGAGGGATTTCCAGTGAATTTTAATGCCAACAGTCAACAGATACCTGATCAATTTGAAAAGGTGGACTTAGAGGACCATTTCCTACAGAACAAGGTCAGAATTATATGTTGTAATTAATGTGGGTATTTTATGTATTGGATTTCAGTCAATACATGGTGACTGAGTTGATATTGGTGAGTTTTAAAAACTATGAATTATTCTACAAGTGTTGGGGCATTATTCTTTACTTCCTATTATTAAGCCCTTTAAAACTGAGTCAATATATAGCATTTCTGCTTGAAAGAAATTCGACCTGAATGATGTCACTCAAGTACTGTTTTTGGCATATTTCCTCTAGACCTACTATATTATAATAAGTTTGAGTTACTTGAGAAAGTCGTGCAGATGGCAGTGTATACTTTAAGATCTGATCTGTTTGCTCTGTGGGTTAATGTATCTAAGGAACATGAGTTCTTCAGAAAACCCAATTCATGGCAAGCCAATCCAGAAGGTCTGTGGATTAATTTGCACTTAGGTATTCTGCCAGTAAAGAATTTTGTTCTCCAACTGAGCTATTAAAGGCACTTAAAACATGTCTTTTAAAAAGGAATACTTTTTTTTGTTTTTCTCACCTGGGAAACTATGTAGAGTTGTTCACTTCAACTATATAAGCTTTAGTTTGTGAATTCAAAACCAAAAGGCACCCACAGAGATGGAGATGCCCAAAGAAAGTAGGACTTCCTGTTCACTGGTCTGGGCCCTCTATTTCCAAGACACAGTGTAAGAATACATTGTCCCAAACTAATATTTTTAATTTCTCCATGTTGCCCATTCATGTTATTATGTCAAAACTTATATTGAGAATATTAGTTGTTTCAAGGTGCATATAAATCTAAATAATATAATTACAAAAAATAAAATAAAATCAATAATTATTTCTAAGCCTCTCTGTTCTTTTTTTAAAAATATTTTATTGATTTTTTACAGAGAAGAAGGGAGAGGGATAGAGAGCCAGAAACATTGATGAGAGAGATTGATCAGCTGCCTCCTGCACGCCCCCCACTGGGGATGTGCCCGCAACCAAGGTACATGCCCTTGACCGGAATCAAACCTGGGACCCTTCAGTCCGCAGACTGACGCTCTAGCCACTGAGCCAAACTGGTTCGGCAAAGCCTGTCTGTTCTTGAGCAACTTTAGAAAATAAATGTAGGTTGAATGGTGTTCCAATAATTAATGCCTTTTATATTTTTTATTCACCTGACATTTAGATTTATTTACCATAGTTCTGATCCAGTTGCCAGTTCTTTTTCTTTCTTTCTTTCATTTTTAAATCCTCACCTGAGGCTATATTTTCATTGGTATTTAGGGAGAGTGGGAGAGAAAGGGAAAGACAGAGAGAAATATCAATGTGAGAGCAAACATCGATTGGTTGTGAGGGAGGAGCCTGCAACCAAAGTATGTGTCTTTGACCAGAATCAAACCTGGGACCCTTTGGTCCACAGGCTGACACTCTATCCATTGAGTCAAACTGGCTAGGGCTCCTTTTTACTAGTATGTTTTTGCTGTAAAATTATTTTCCTGCTCAAAAACTTGTGTGCTTGGCTGTTGCCTACTAAAGTTGTATATCCTCATCTGGCCTTCAGTGAACCCCATGATTCTCCTTCAGTCTTACCCTGCCTTTCCAATCTTCTCTTCTTGAACTTCTTCATACACTACAGTCAGAGCTAATAAATTGTGTCCCACAACATGCTTTTCACTTTGGTATACTTATGCCATGGCATGTGGCATTACTGTGTGTGTGTGTGTGTGTGTGTGTGTGTGTGTGTGTTTGTGTTTGCCTTAAGGCCTTATTCAACTTCCTCTTCTTCCATAAAGCCTTTTCAAATCCTCCAGAGAGAATTAACCTCAAATTACTTTGTATTCTCAGAACTCCTTTGAAAATTGTTCTTAGATCTTGTGTTTTGGTATTGGCATTTATTTGCTTTTGTGCCTTTCTCCTCCCTGAAATTGAGAATTCCTTAGATGTGTCTCATTCATCTTTGTATTCTGGAGTGCTGGCACAAAGTCTTGACTGTAGGGCAAGTGCACAATATATTTTTGATGAAGGATTTTTAAAATTTAGCTGTGACTTATCTTACAAGGCTCTCTATTGTCTAATATGTGTGTGTTAGCCAAGCCAGATTGTTCCTTTGTTGTTTTCTGAAAGCACTCCATGATTTCTGTTATTATGTCCATGTGGAACCCTCTGCTTGGAATTCAACCTCTCTTTCTTTGCCACCAACCCCAGCCTTCTCTTTCACCCTTGTGCCATATCCTAGCACGATGTCTGACATATAGTTGGCATTCAACAAATGCTTGTTGAAATCCTGCCCGTCATTCTAACTTTATCTGATCTGTACCAGCTTCATAAAATCTTCTTTACCCCACCCCCATCCCCAAACCAGATAGGATCTCTCTGGCCTTGATAACCCCATTGCATCAATTCTGTGCCATTTATAGTCACAATGAACTTGATGCTGTTCCCTCTTACAACTTTGTCATCGTCGTTACATTATTTGAAGTCAATTAGTGCTCCAAGTTTAGGCCTATTTCAGGTCACATTGGGGTAAAAAGGGAAGAATGGTAGATTCCACTGAGGATGTAGAGATCAGATTATAAAGGGTCTTAATTTGATGTTAGGGATTCTGGATGTTCTGTAGAAAACAAGGATCTATTGGAAACATGAAGCAGAGGCAAGATCTGATTTGATCCTTGTGTTAGGAAGATAATCCAGGAGGTCCCTGTCTTACTTACCCTTGCTGCTAAATTAGAAATTCCTTTGCACCAGAGGACATCCTGATCCTCCTGTCTCTGCTGCAATCTCTAAATACCCAGAGTTAGCTCAATGGAATTGAATTCACTAGTGAATTAACTCATTCAACAGAAGCCAGCTCAAACCTGAAAGAAAATGGAATTTTAAAGAGTTGTTACAGGAAAAGAACCCCAAGGTGGCTTCTCTCTTTGATTTTAAGTCAAAGTACTTTAAAAGAAAACTGTTCTAATGTTGAAAAATGATACAATAACAATCCACAGTCATTGCATCATGATTAATTGGTTCTAGTGATTCAGTGAAAGTGAGAAAGCACTCATCTTAAATAAAGGTTTGTACACTATTGCATTTTTGGAAGAAGAAATTGGTTTTGAATAAAATTACAATCCAACCAAACCGGTATTATAAGAAAACAAAAGTTTGATAACCTGACAAGTAAAGAGAAGCTTTCAAAGAAAAACGGCCTTCTCTTAGTTATGAAACCTTTTTAAATCCTTTCAGAATAATGATTTGATTATATACAGAGAGGTGATTAGTGCATTGGAAATAGTAATTTAATAACTTAAAAAAGAGCACTTTTAAAGAGAGATTCAAGCAGAGGTGATGGTTACCTGTAGGGCATTTTATGGTAGAATCATGATGCTCATTGCAGTAAAGAAGATACTAAGAGGATTAAAACATAGGTAGAGAGGAGGGAGGCAAAAGCCAATATTCTTGGTGGGTATGTTTTGAAATTGGCTTGAGATAGAGATATCAGTGCCCAACCCCTTACTGTTTGTTCAAATCTCTTATTGACAAGTAAACCCTTTCCCACAGAGAGAAATTTGGAACATATAATCCCTATTAGTAAGGTGGGAGACAGATATAACCCTGGCAATTACAACCTGTTGCTCTTTTATCCATTTCTAAAGAAGATTTGGAGTCTAATACAATGAACTATTTGGCAAATACATCTTTCAACAGTTCTGTATTGTTACTTCGATTGGCAGCATTTTTAGATTGCCCCAATTTAAGGGCAATAAAATTATGTTTCCATAAAATGGATGAAATTTAAACTTCACGTTAGATAATGTAAAAGAAAAAATCATATGCCTGGTTATGGGAAAATATTGCAGAAAAATGGACACTTCAGTGTTTGGCAGGCCATATAGTTTGCAAAAGGAAAAGGAAATATATTTTGATCCTAGCCGTTCAGTATGATCAGACATCATCAGGATATTAGTGACAACTTTCAGTATGAAAACAGCAAGAAAATACCAAGTTGTAATTTTTGAATCATGGCATGGTTATTACAAGTTAATTAGTGAATTCAGCAGTCATGGATACTAGCAGAATATATTATTCTGTATTGCACAAAGGAGGCTGGGAAAGGCAAACAAGTCTTTACTGTCCTGTTTCTTTGGAGAGCAAGTCAGTCAGAAATAATATTTTCTACAAATAATTCGTATTGTGTAAAATACAAAATTTTAATTTAAAATTTGAACTGATTGCTGTTAAGATAGGATACAGGACTTTAAATAAAACCCCAAGTCCCTTTCATATTTTTAGATCAATAGTTAGAGGCTATTTAGAGACTCTTACCTAGATCTTAAAGTTGCTTTATTTGGTTGCATCATTATGTGCTCACTGATATTTTCTGCTTTCAAACTGTTTCAGTTTTCCTCTTTGGAGTGGGGTGGATTGATCAGAGAATGGAACAATAGGAGTGAACATCAGAGACAGGAAGAAAGAGATTTTAGAACATTTCTTATAGTTGTGATTTTAATTTATATATCAAATTATTTGACTTGGCCCTAAATTCTCTAGAAAAAGTATAAAATTTCTACGTAGCAAACAACTTGTTTGGAATGGAGATTGTGATTGACTTATGAGCTTCTCCTTTCAAGAAAACTTTCATTGTTTTGTATTTTGTTCCTCAATAGATCTGTAAGACAAGACAAGCGGTTCCCCTATTGTTTAGAATTTGCACAGGAATATTGAAGGCTACTCCACTTTCATTAGTGTTTTGGGAAAATAAAATTAAACAAGTTTTAACTGGCCCAGCATATGTACACTTCATTTTTATCAATGGCAGCTTCTCTATCAGTACAGCTTATTCAGGCAAGCAATATCATAGTGGTCATTTAAAGGGAAATGGGTATTCAAAAGAATAAGAGAATTTCCTGTGTTGTTTCTCAATAGGACTTCAAAGGATTTTCTAATGGCATATCTGATGGCATGGATTTAGAAATCAGTCTCAACATAGATGCTTTTGCACACACACCTGTACATACACACATGTGTGCACGGGCACACACCTACACACACATACAGAGTATATTATGTCAGAGCATTTTTGTTTTTCAGAATTCCAATTTTCACAGGTTTTTTTTTAATCTTCCCCACCTTCACAAATGTTTGGTCTAAAGCTAAACAACTGGATTAAATTAAAAAGAAAAAAAGAAGGTGAAGTCATGAAGAGAAATTTAACGGCCATTGTCAGTTTTAGGTGTCCTCAGACTTGGCAGGATTTTTTTTCTCTATAACACGAAATGCAGCTGAGTTAGTGGCCCTGACTGTGTCTCGTCTATGTAGAATCACTTGGGAACTGTCCAGCAAAATATCTCTCAAAGAACAGCATGGTGTTGGTACTGGGTGCCAACCCAAGACAGACACAAAGGACCCCTCTGCTCTTCACCAATAAGCCAACTGTTAAAAGATTAAAACATGTTGTGGAGATAACAAGAATTTAGGCGCTGGCAGCAGGTGCTGTACAAAGAAGCAGTTGGCAGTGTGTTCCTTCTGTCTGACTAATTCCAGTCAAAACAATCTTCTTCCCAGTTGCAGGGGAGAGTTTTGAGTGTGATGGCAACTTGAAGTTAGGAGGTGGAGTAAGAGTGTTACTTTAAATGCTGAGTCCTGCGGTGGATGGATTAGTAGAATATGGTTTATCATTGTTGAGAGACTGCGGGCGATTCCCCTCTTGAATCCAGCCACAATTGGCTAGCTGGGGAATACACAATCAAAGAGCTATAAGTCAAATCTGCTTACGTGGTGGGGTTGCTGTATCCCTAAAATTTTATTTTCACATACAGGGGTCATGTAACATTTTCTTCTTTTGAGAAGTAATGCTCTTCCATTATAGAATAATTACCAAATATATTAGCTCTACCCTTTTGTTATCGCCTGATCACACTTGAACATTTTTATCTTTTAAATTATAATTTAATTTTTGTATTTTAAGAAGTCATTTGCCACCCAACAAATAGCTAGTATTAGTACCAACTTTCACTTTTTAGTATTAGAAAATAATTTTGATTGTTATTGAAGCAACATCATTTATTGGGTTTAAAGCAGAAAGTCATGTTCCCATAATCCTATACAAATAAATACTTGTACTTACAAACTTAGCATGATTACTCAGAGAAAGTGAGCATGTAAGTTAGTAGATAAAGTGTTAAATTTGAACAGAATCCCTACAGGTGATACAAATACCTATTAATTTGAGAATCAAGTCTAAGTGAGAAAAGGTAGAAGGTGCGCAATACCTTTGACCTATGTAGTCTGATAAACACAGATGCAGTGTCTCCCCAGTCAGTCCCCTCCTGTCCTTTCGCACAACTATCACTAAAGTCTCAACTCATAACCTTTTATTCTTAGGAGATTATGTGGGCTCCCAACTGTTCTCCTTGCCTTTGATACTTCCATTCTGCAATCCATTATGTCTACCCTTTGCCATATCAACCTACTAGTATTTGCTATAATCCAATCCCTCCTGCTTAAAAGGGTTCACTGGCTCCCTACCAAGGTCTAACTCCTTAGCCTTACACTGGACACCTTCTACAGTTTGGCCAAGTTTATTTTTTGAGCCTATCAAAAAATCCTAAGATATGTTGATTATACATCCTTGCCTTTACTTGGAATATCATTATATTCTTTATTATTCCTGTCAATCTGTCTTTATCCTTTAAGGTCCGGTCCAGATGTTACTTCTTTCAAGACACTCCACTTTTTGTTGCTCCAGTAGAAATGACCCCTACCATTCTTTGAATACTAGAGTACTATTTATTCATCCATATGGAGCTTAACATGAAATTGTGTGTGTGTGTGTGTGTGTGTGTGTGTGCATGTATATTATTGCATCTACTGTTGTGAGTTTCTTTAGGGCAGGAAAAATACAGGTGAGGCAAAAGTAATTTTACATTTGTGAGTACATGAAACACAGAGTTTATTCATACATTATTATTTATTATTGTATTATTTTCCATATGAACAACTGTAAACCTTTTATCCTACCCTGTATTTTATAATATAATGCACCACACAGTCTGGGGCCCTGCCTATCAGAACCGGTGCTCAACAACTATCAATTGAATTGAATCAAGTGGGATTGAGCACAACTGTTTCAAAAGAGCCCTTCTCAATTGGAAACATGATGTTCCAGGATAACTTATTTTGGGTAAGTGTGTTGAGGAAGGTTAACCTTCAGAATCTGTTAAAAACGCATACGTGTTCTCATGGTACAGGTGGATTCCAGTATCGTCCTTCATGCCTCGGTTTCCATTGGAAAGTGGGGTTCCTCAGGTAGTGAAGAGAGCAGCAGATGTCAGATGGTGCCATCGACCCTGTGGCCTGCAGCCAGTGTGTGGCTGATCATGAAGGTACCTGAGAGTGTCTGTTGTCCCTGAGTGACCTCCTATGCTGGCTGGCTTACCATGTGCTTACCTGGTCCTCATGCACACAAGCATGCAAGTGAAAGTGTGATCAATTGCTGGCCTTAATAAATGCTCTTTCTCTGCACTTGGGTTGTCTATTACAGAGGAAGGCTGTAGACCCTCCCTCTGAGCATTCAGTCCACTTTTAGATGCGCTGATTTGTTCATACTCCAGAGTATATCTACACCCAGCATAGAGCTTCTGTATAGTCCATAGACTTGCCATTTCCTGAGATTTGTCTGAATGTCATTTGCTTCCACTCGCAGTCTTCACTATTGTGCTTTGTGGAGTCTGGTGGATTAGCACCATATCATGACAGCATGCAGTCTTTGTAAGGACAGTTTTAGAAGAAATCCCTGAGTACAAAATGTGAACAATGCCTAACAGATTTATACCTGTGTGTTAGCACTAATTTTTTGCTTTATTATTTTACTTTTGGATCTGATTTAAATTGAGAGCGTATAATCACCCCCCCTTCTCTCTTACTATTAAAATATGTTTTGTAATTGCTACCAAATATTTATGTCTGGAAAGAGATGGCACAGCCCGTATCTACCCTTCCTCCGTCCCTCACTATAGATTAATTTTGCTTCCTCTTAGTACTTCTGTGGGTGCAGAGTAGTCCAGGGAAGTTTGCTGCTACTTAGTTTGGGGTGGGGGAGAGGAGCTCAAAACTATTTTCTTAGTGAAATCTTAGATTGCCCTTAATTATTATTTTTAGTTTCCCTGAGAGTTCAAAACAAACATATAGAATAATTATGGCATAAATGTACTAAGAAATAGTATTCATTTTACATAACAAGGCAGAATGAGGTTAGATGAGATACTTCTTAAATCTGTTTCCAACTTGGAGACTTGAAGTACTAGCCCTTTTAAAGTTGTATTTTGTGTCTGATTTGATAATATCTGCCATTTTATTAAACATCTGCTATATGTTAGGCATTATATACACACTTATCTCATTCAATCTTATACAAACTGCAGATTTTCATTATGTAGCTGAAAAAAACTGAGTCTAGTAAGGGTAGAAGAAGGATTCTTGGTCTCTCTGGATTCAAAACATATCTTTTCACTGTAATACAGGACACTGCTCTATATTTGACCAATTTATGAGCTTGAGGGAAGTGTTTTAGTTTTAGCACTGCACTGAACACCTGTGTCACCAATTGGACCCGAAGATATGGAAGATTCTTTCCTAGATCTTCTATTTTGTAATTCTCTGGTATCTGTTTCTAGAAGTTTATGATATTCAAAATATATATCTGGGGAGAGTTACTTAGCTGCTCTGAGCCACCGTTTCCTCATCCATAAAATGAAGTTAGTCATATGAGAAGGCATGTTTGAGGTTCAAGCATGGTGTCTGGTAGATAGAAAGTGCTTAATAAATGGGGATTCTTTTTCTCATCCCCAGCCGTTTCCTTTCTGTAACATTATCAAATGAGGATTCCATTCAGTGCTTATATTAGAACCAAATTAAAAATAAATATTTTCTTAAGTCATCATATATTCCTTCCCCACACCACAAAACGTTGAGAAATAAGTTACATGCAAAAAAGAAAACGATTTTGAAAATGTTTTTAGATTGAATATTTTTTCCTTATTTATTTATTTATTAAAATATATTTGTATTGATTTCAGAGAGGAAGGGAGAGGGAGAGAAAGAAACATCAAAGATCAGAGAGAATCACTGATCAACTGCCTCCTGCATGCCCCCCCTACTGGGAATAAAGCCTGTAACCCAGGCATATGTCCTTGACCGGAATGGAAGCCAGGATCCTTCAGTCTGCAGGCTGACACTCTATCCACTGAGCCAAACCAGCTAGAGCTTTTTTAAAAAGTAAAATTTTTTACCTGTAAAAATAGAGAATTTTGCATGCCACAAATTCTCAAATGTGTAAATGAATTCGTCAGTTGTTGTCACTTATTTAAAATGTGTTGATTCACTAGGAAAATTGTTACATGGACATTCAAACAATATTCCCATCAATTTCCTTATTAGAGAATTTCAACATTTAAAACAAATGCAGCTCACGAGTCATCTTAAAATGTTTAACCCGTGGTATTTAGACCCAGAGCAAGGCTTTACGTTGTGTGAAGGTTAAGGATTTGTTTCCATCTTCAGTTCACTGCACTTTTTTTTCTGTGCATGCATATTTCAAGGAAGTTCTGTAGTTATAACTACAAGAAGTGACATGTGATGGACCCCCAATTGCTGCACTGTGAAATATGCACAGAAAAGAAGGACAAATGAAGATATCATGCCCTGTTTTATTTTGCGCTGAACTATAAAATGCCACCCTTGTCGGACAGGGAAGCTCACTGATTCTGAGCACGGCTCACTGACTGCTAAGTTGTGGGTAGTGTTTCACTTTCAGCAACTGTTAATATCCGGGGTTATCCAGGCATAATGACCTCACTATTTGTGACACATTGTTGAATTTTCTGGTTCTTTTAACTTATTTAGACCTGTCTCCCTTCTCTATTCATTGGCAGACTGGAATGATCTTGAGCCGAGCCATAACTCAGGGCTGCCTAGCTATTGGTCATCCAATCAGAGTCAAGGCCACTGAAGGAACATCACTGGAAGGATATAAATTAATCCTCCAGAAAAGGTAATACCTATACATTACTTAGCTCAAAACAATAAATGTTCGTTTCAAAATTTCTGAACAGCCAAATCATACTGCTTAGATAGATGTTCATTAGGTGTTTAAATGTATGTTCACAACATGATTATTAATTTTTCTAATCTGAAATAAGCTTGAAAACATATCCCACCTAGTTTGGTAGTGATTCTTAGATATTTTAAACAGCAAATGTTGGCCTTCAACATGTACCTATGCTGCAGACAAGCTGCTGCTTTACTCTGTAATTATTGAACTCATTTCTTTATCTCTATTTTGATTGATAATTTAAAATTTAATGTTCTATGTGTACTCCTAACCTTTTCTCCATCTTCTAAATATAAAATATTGAACTGTAAAAGAAAAATTAAGGAGACAAGATATTGATGGCTTGTAAAGCACTGAAAGTGCCCTTTCTGTTTTTTTGTTTAGATGGATAGGCAGTAGGTTTGTGCTTAGGGCTGAAACCAGAAGTAGGGCATTTAAGCACCAGAAAAACTAGCCCAGCCTCTGTACAGAAGGGAAATTTTCTCCAATATGTGAAACAGATTGTTCAACAGGTATTAGAATATCACATCATGATTAGGAATGTGATCTACAGAGTCAGATTCACATGTGTAAATTCTGGCTATACCTGGTACTCTAACAAAAATTAATTTCTGAGCCCAACACTATTCTAATTTCTTTAGATTATATTGTCACATTTAATCCTCACAACAACTGGAGAAGGTATATATTATTATAATTATCTTTACAGTTGAGGAAATGGAATCATAGAGAAGTCAATCATTTACTCAAGGTCGAGCCTGCTAAGTGGCTGGGCAGGAATGCAAACCTAAGCAGTCAGGCTCTACAACTTACTCTTAGCCACAACACTACAATGTCTGTACGTCAAAGTCTAGTCAGACCATTGCCAGTTAGTGTCAAGCATGGTAGCAGATATTTCAGTGGATTAGTAGGGTACATTCACTGAAAAACATAGGAAAAGGAAGAGGGAGGCATTAGCTTGGCAGCATGCAAACTAGCTAGTGCTAGTAGTATCCTAAACACACAGTTCCCAAAGAAGGATAAACAAACCCAAATCAAGTCCCAGGTTGATGTGATGCTGTATGTGGAATGGGTAACAAGATTTCTGCAGCAGAATCAGTACTATAAACTAGAGACATATCAAGGATCAACGTATGATGATAATGACAAGGCCAAACCATGGGACATGGAGCCACAGAGGCTTTAGCTCTATTTTTTATAACAAATAGAAAAATCAGTCAATTGTAACTGACCCAGAAATTATACAGATTATAGAATTAATATACAGGAAATTAAAACAATTGTTATAACTGTATTCCATATATTTAGGAAGCTAGGGAAAAGATTAAACATATTAAGTAGAGATGTGGAAGATATACAAGACTCAAATCCAATTTCTAGAGATGAAAATGGAAATTTATAAAATGAAAAGTATATGACTGATGGCAGATTAGGTATTGTGGAAGAAAATATTAATGAACTTGAAGAGAAAACAATAGAAACTATTCACAATGAAAGCCACAAAGAAAATTGGAAAAAAATGAACAAAATATCAGTGATATGTGAGAAACTTTACATTGTATGTCAATTATTCCTCAATAGTTGTATTTAAAAAGAGCAAAACAAAACAAAACTGAGAAAATAAAACAAACAAAAAGTCAACTCAATGGGTAAGGAGTGACTAAGTGCTTACCTTGCAGTGGTTCTCAACCTTCCTAATGCTGCGACCCTTTAATACAGTTCCTCATGTTGTGGTGACCCCCACCATAAAATTATTTTCGTTGCTACTTCATAACTGTAATTTTGCTACTGTTATGAATCGTAATGTAAATATCTAATATGCAGGATGTATTTTCATTGTTCGCGACCCACAGGTTGAGAACCGCTGCAGGGAAATGGTGAAGAATGACCACTCTCCATGGGAGAGTTATCAGTGGTCTAGTTGAAATGGCTGGTTTTTGGAAAGGTTTTACATATCACTAGATGAACATGCTTTTCATGCCCAGGAATGAAAACTAAATACTAAACTGAATACTAAATACTAAATTTAGTATTAGCTAACTGAATACTAAAACTAGTGTTGATGTGGTCTCAGCCCACTGAAGTTCTTCACATGCTACTCTGGCCAGGATTGTCATAGAACTGGGTGGGACTGAAGCCTCAAACTGGATGTCCTTGTTGCCTATGGAGAATAGAACGTGGGCAAGGAAAGAGATGATTAAAAAAATTAAAAATGTAGTTTTATTTGAAAATCTCTATTGACAAGAAAGGATGTGGTTTACTTTAGAAAGGAAGGAAAGAAGAGAGAGGGGGCGAGAGGGAGAAATGGGCAGTAGAAAGGGTGGATCCCTATGCAAATGAGGATCATTTGCCTTTGTATTAATGCAACTCACCTTTTTTTGAAAAACAAAATCTACTGTAAGATGGAGACAAAATAGCAGATTTGGAAAACTAGAGGTTCTCATTAACTGTGAAGCTACATTTTGTTCTTTAAAAAGCAACAAGGATCCAGACTTACCTCACTCTGGATTTATGCTTTCAAATATGTTTATCTATTCCTCAGCATCTGAAGTGCCTGTATGACATTTATTTTTAACATAACCATAGTTCATTATAAACAATAATAAGTATCCTCATGTCTCCAGCAGCTGCTGGAGACAAATTTTCTTTTCTTCTCTTAAGTAGTATAATGTAATTTTCACAAAAGCTATGAATCAAGACATAGCTTTTATATGCTAAAAATAATAGAACTAGCACTTAAAGTAGCAACCTGACAACTCACAAAGAATATTGTAAACAGATCATGCCTCATTAGTTCAGTTATGTCTCATTTGGTGTCACTCATCTTATTCTTATTCAATATATCAAGTGCTTGCACATATTTGTCTTTTTAGTATTTTTCTGTGATGTGCATCTGACCATGAGTGGATGAAAGGCAGAACAATGATGTTGTTACCAAGTAATCTGAAAATGATAAAAATGATAAACTTCAAAGTCAAAGATATGTTTCCTCCAAAAGTTTTTTTTGGTCATCTTATAAACAAATCAAAGAACTAAAGTTCTTCTTCAGGCCACCATTAAATCTTAATTTTGCTTAATTTTTAAAGAATGTGGGTATGCAGAATCTGGCCTTTAGTATTAAATTCTTAAACTAATTAAAGCAACACACACACACACACACACACACACACACACACTCATTCATACATAGAGGTTAAATTAAACTAAATATTGGGGAACCATGGATTTTGTTTGGCCTGCACATTATTATATTTTTTGAATTAGTGGTAAGCCTATAGACATATGGAGATTTCACACAAAAATACAAATTTCTGTTTTTTCTTAAAAAAAAAAAGAAGAATGGGGTGCAATGGACTTTCATTCTCTCATGGCACTAGTCATGCAGGAACAGATTCCCCATTTAGATAGAACATATACCCTCTGGTTTGCTATATTCTCCACCATTCCCAATTGCCACCCTCACACTAGCTTTAGCCTGCTTTATTGGTTTCCATTACCTGTCTGGTAATCTTTACTGTTTTCCTTATTTCAATGTTAATCTTTTAGTTATACTTTTTTTGCCAACTTCTCTCTCCCCCTCCCCCATTTAAGTCTTGCTAAAAATAGTGTGATAATTGGCCAACATTAATCTAGACTAGGTTAAACAAATACTTCTTTAAGGACACCATTGGACACAATGAACAAGTGTGTCTGTAATGCTAGGTGTAGAGAGATAAAGACAAGTAAGTAGACAGCACATCACCAGGTATTCAGAGAGATTGAAATCATCTCATTAGTCAAGTCTTAAAGTTTGAGAGTTAGATTAAAGCAGAGTAGTAGACTCTATCAAGTATCCAATGTAGGAAGGACTGTTTGCCATGCAGTGGACGTCGAAGTAATATTCAAACATGTAGATGATGCCATCAGAAAGGTCAGCATCAGGTAGAAAATTGCCCACATTTAATTTCACAATATGTGCATTGATGGATGAAACTTCTTTTTACTCTTACCATGTTAAGAATCATGGAGTAGAAATCCCTTTTCCCCAGTCTCTATGGATCCTACTTTTGGTCCAGGTAGCATTGGAAGACACCAGAGCCATTTGAAACTGGTTGGGAATGTGGATTTGTAATTGTGAAACATGGTGACCAGCCTTCTTTTAGTCAACTGAGAAACAATGAGTATTAGCCTATGAAATTTCCCCCAAACTGAACTGTGCTCATGGAATGCCTTTTTGCTTATAGCCTCTGACAAATGGAATATTTCAAAGGAATTTTTTTTAGGTATTAATTAATATTATTATAATCATAAATTTTAGTTCTGGACCCTAAGACATCTATTAAAAGCTTATTTTTCCTTTATTAATTATAAAATACAAAGATCTCTAGAAAGATTAACCTCTCTCAACACATCTCACCCCACCCAATGCTGAAATTGAGCAACCATTACATTTGTCTCAAGCCTGAGAATGGGATTTTTAGCTTAGGTATCAGGTAAGCCTTGAACAATGTTCCATAAACAAATGTTTACCTAAGTATAGAATTCTTCATATTTCCTCACTTCTCTGCTTCCCTCTCCTCCATTCTAATTTCACTCTTCTATTAGTGTCATGTTTCTCTCTTTTGTTTTTAACCCAAAATTGACATCTGAGAATTAACCTTGTCTATTCTCTTTAACCTCCACCCCATTTAGTCAATCACCAAATCAGTTCTTCTTTTATAATGTTTTATGTATGCAGTTATTTCTTCCTCACCTACTCTCATCATTCTAGTTCAGTGTTCCTCAAAGTCTGGTCCATAATCTATACACATACACATTCCCAGACTCCTTTTTTAAAAAAAATATTTTATTGACTTAAGAAAGGAAGGGAGAGGGAGGGAGAGATAGAAACATCAATGATGAGAGAGAATCAATGATCGGCTGCTTCCTGCACACCCCACACTGGGGATCAAGTTCGCAACCTGGGCATGTACCCTTGACTGGAATCAAACCTGAGACCCTTCAGTCTACAGGCCGACGCTCTAACCACTGAGCCAAACCAAGTAGGGCTCCCAGAGTTCTTATACAGCAGATGAATCACTTGCAACACCTATTACTGTGAATTTCTGGGGGTCCAGACCTTCTGAATCAAAATCTGAGACATACCCACATGTTCTTCACATTTTCGTATGTAAACTGGATGTGAGTGAAAGGCACATATGCACTGGAACAGTTTGGGACTGCTGCCTTCCCATGTTCTGCCCAGATCAGAGAGCCCCTCGCTTTGGAACAGAGCATTACCTGCCACCACCTATTCTCAACCATTAATGTTCCTGTCAAAACTCAGAGGCAGTATGAAAAGTCTTCTTTAACATCCCATTACACTTAATTTAATTCATTTGTTCTACTTTTGCAAGGTTTCTAAATATTAACGAATACCTGATTAGTTAATTTAAGTATGACTAACTTCATCACATTTTAGTTTTTCTTTCTTAGATTTAGCTCAGGAAATTTCATGTTTCTTAATAAAATTTTCTGGTCATTTCAGAAACAGGTGCCTAAGGTTTCTAATTTTCCATGGTATCTTTTTCCATCCCATTTTCTTAATCATTATACTTAATTAAGCCCCTTTCTATGTCACCAAGGATATTTTTTGGGGGGAGGGGGGCAGAGATTTCTATGATATTCTTAGCAATTCTAGTTATTCTCTAAAATCCTTAATCACTATTGCCATTGGTAATACACACACAGACAACACTCCCTATCCCCCGCCACCCCCCAGACTCCACAGCACTGTGTGTACCAAAGGAATTGGTGGTCTTAGAGAGGCTTTAGCTCCTGAGGTGGCAGTGACGATGGTATGGTAGAATCCGTGGTAGAGTGTGGGCAGTCCTCTTGCCAGGTGATATGGAAAATGATGTTTTTATTTGAAACCTAGAGAACGTTTCAATGAGGAGAAAAGTTGTCAATCTCTAATTACATTTTCATTATAGACATAAAGAAAATGATTCTCAGAAGTGGGTGTTTGGAACTGATGGCTGCATTTATTCTAAGGTAAGGACTTTGTTAACCATAGCTTTTCTTCCTAAGTTTTTCCATTCCAGGTTTGTATAAAATGCACTCTCTATTGTTGAGAGCAAGAAATGCTTTGTGTGCACAAGTGATTTTACTCTGTGCCTAGAAGTTTATAATTTAATTTAATTTAATTTAATACTTTCTTCTGAGGTTTTATTTGACTTTAAAACACTAGTTTTCCAAAGCCAAAAATAATTTGCTATAATTTATTGCTATGAAACCACCCAGCATGTCAGGTCCTCAGTTTTCTTTCTTTTACCTTAATTTAATTTAATTCTTTATTTTTATTGAGATATAATTGATATATAACAGTGTATATGTTGTACAATATATTGATTTGTTACAAGTATGTATTGCCATATGATTACCACTATAACATTAGCTAACACCTCAATCACATCACATAATTACCACTTCTTTTTGAGGTAAGATTAAGATCTACTCTCTTCACAAGTTTGAAGTTATAATACAGTATTATTGGCCATAAACACTATGCTGTGCATTAGATCTCCAGACCTTATTTATCTACTAGTTGCAAGTTTGTATCCTTAAACAACATCACCCAATTCCCCACCCTCCTGGTAACCCCCAGTCTTCTCTCTGTTTTTATGAGTTTGGCGTTTTTAGATTCCACACGTAAGTGGTATCATACAGTATTTGTTTTTCTCTGTCTGACTTATCTCACTTAGCATAATACCCTTAAGTGCCATCTATGTTGTTAAAAATGGCAGGCCTTTTCCCTCATAGCTGCATCATGCATTATTTTGTGTTTTAAACATATTATTTTAAAGAAAATTTTGATTCTAAAAATTTCAATGTCACATTCCCAAACACAATCGCTGATTTTTTAAATTAAAGTTATTTTAGATTCACAGAGCAAAACTATTTTCATGAGTCATTTCGTTCTTATAGAGGTTTAGAAATTGTAATTAGATCTAAATTTAGTCATATCCACAACTATATCCATCTAGTTAAGGCTAAAATGGAGGATAATTTGATAATTATTTGCAGCTGGTTCATAAATGGAGCTCATTTCATTCATTTAAAAAAAAGAATTACTGCTTCAGGATATTAATAACTAATCTTGGCTCTATTACTTAGCTGTGTAACCTTAGGCAAGTCATTTAACCTTTCTAAACTTCACATTCATTGTCTACAAAATAGAGATATTCATACCAGCATTTTGAGTATTTGCACAGATTCTGGCCTATCAATAGATTCTGGCATATTGATTCTAGCTAATCAATAATTTGTAGCTATTTATGATAATAATGGACAAATTTAAACACTATAGTGCACTTTGTTACTGTTTTTACTTGGATAATTTTTTTCTTTTGTTTATTTTTAATGTTGACCATCCCTCTATTAATTTGCGAAATGATAAAGTTAAATTACTTCCTTTATGCAAACTACCAGTTCCAGCTAAATTAAGTATTTAAACCTAAACATGGAACCATAAAATATCTAGAAGAAAGCATGGATTAAAGTATCTAACCCACAGTAGCAGTGAGTGGATATCTTTATGAACATGCAAACAAAGATAGAATCCATAAAGGAAAAGACTAATGGCTTTGAGTATATAAAAATATTTTAAAACTTCTATATCTAAAATAGCATAAGCAAAAGTAAGTAGAGAAATATGGCAAATAGGGAAAATCTTTGCAATATAAATGTGAGAAAATTGAATAATACTTAATGTATAATAAGCCTGTTATAACAATAGGAAAGGATAAACACTTTAATAGAAAAATAAGCAAAGGACATTAAAAGGAAATACATGACAGAAGAAAACTCAAAATGGCCAAACCAAATAAAAAAGTTCAGCCTCGGCAAGAACATACAATAAGATAAAGACAGTCTATTCAACAAAGGGTGTTGGGAAATTGGACAGATATGTGCAAAAAATGAAACTAGACCACTTACTTATACCATATACAAGAATAAACTCAAAATGTATTAAAGATTTAAAGGTAAGACTTGAAACCTTAAAACTCCTAGAAGAAAACATACGCAGTAAAATCTTTGGCATTTCTCTTAGCAATATTTTTTTGGACAAATATCCGTGGGTAAGGGAAACAAAAGAAAAAAATTAACAAATGAGACTACATCAAACTAAAATGTTTTTGCAGAGCAAAGGAAACCATCAACAAAAACAGAATGACAACCTACTGAATGGGAGGAGATATTTGCCAATGACACATACAATAAGGGATTAATATCCAAAATTTATAAAGATCTCTTACAACTCAACACCATAAAAACAAACAATCAAATTTAAAAGTGGGCAGAGGTCCTGAATAGACATTTCTTTAAAGAGAAAGATGACCAACAGACATATGAAAAGATGCTCAACATCACTAAACATCAGAGAGATGCAGATGATTTCTTCATCACATAATTGGCATCATATAGTTTATAGCCTTTTAGGTTGGCTTTTTAAAAAATATATTTTTATTCATTTCAGAGAGGAAGGGAGAGGGAGAGAGAGATAAAAAACATCAATGAGAATCATTGATGCTCTTGCAGGCCCCCACTGGGGATTGAGCCCACAACCCGGGCATGTGCCTTGACCGGAACCAAATCCAGGACCCTTTAGTCTGCAGGCCAATGCTCTATCCAGTGAGCCAAATCAGCTAGGGCCAGGTTGGCTTTTTTTTTTTTTTACTTAGTAATATGCATTTAAGGTTTTGGGGTCCCTTACAATTTTAACATGCACATTTAGTTGTACATTTTCTAACAAAGTTTAGTTATTCAATATCACTTTCCCCAGAAGAATATAAGGACTTTAGTGCCTTTAATTATTCATTGAATACCTTCTCTTATATTTTGTTAGATTTGTAGTTCCACACCTTAATAAAGAGGTGTTTATATCATATTTGAGGCTGTATAACTAGAACTTATGTCCTGGTAAACACTGGATGACACTGAGCAAGTAGCTTAATCTCCCTGTGTCATTTTTTGTTTTGTTTTGTTTTGTCTTTAAGATGAACATAATAATACTTATTTCAAAGAGCTGTTGCAAAGATTAAAATGTAAATATATTATCATGTGGGAAGTTGCTTTGATGCAACAGTAGTCTCCAAATATGCTCTTAGATAGACTATCTTAGAGCTCATGGAACAAAAAGATACATCGACCAAATTAAAATGCTCAAATCATATTTGTTAAATGGATTCAAAATACAAAGCAAAATGTATGGGAAAAGAAATGGGCTAGGTTAACACTCTTAAGGTGCAAGTGGGTTGAAGGGCCACGTTACTTGAATCTCTTAGTGTTGCATTACTCTTCCCTGCTAGTGATGTGGTTACAAGGACCAGAGTTGAAATTTGAGCAAGGGGGCGTAATGGAGAAAAGGTGCCTGAGGCGGTGACACACACTGGCTCTGTGAGAGAGCTGCTTGGCAAATACACTTGGCTAATAACTGTGCTCCCCAGTTAGCTTGATGGGCAGCTATGGACTTTATCCAGTGGAGGATACAACATGAGTCAGCAGTGGGTGGCCAATTACAGATCTCATGATGTTTGTGAGTCTCATGTGCTTCATTTATGGTTAGTGTAACATACATATTTGTTGCTTTGTTATTTAGTAAATCATGACTATTAAATGGCTATTTTTACTTCTACCCCTTTCTATGTTCATATGCATTTGCTCTACTTAATTTCTGTCTGACACTTCTCAGGTTACTAATTTGCTTATGTTTAATGCAGCTAGTGAATTTCATCCATCCCATTTGTTTTCTTGTCTTCTAGAGCAGAATTGAATATTCCCAAACAATATAGTAACTACATATTACATATATGCAATGTCTTTTACAATAATACCTTTTATGTGGAAATAACTCAATAAATGCTAGCTATTATTATTAATATATAACATGGCTTTAATATTTTAATCTGATCTAAGGGTGAAGATTAGCAATCAAGTTAAACTTGATCGAAGTAAACAGCAAATTAGAAATTGTAATGTGAAAATTATTTGGCTTGATTTTGATCTGAAATTGATAATGAAATGCAAAGTTTATTAGCTACACCTTTTTACTATTAATCTAATCTATGAGCCCATCATTCTAGTTGGATAGATTTTTGGCTGTTGCTTAAAAGGTTGCTGTTACATTTTTCCTCTTTTCCTATAGGCTTATCCTCAGTTTGTTCTGACCTACCTAGAGGAGCTAAAGGCACAAATGGATGTGACCCAGACAGAGTATCACATTCACCATGGCACCTGGACCACAGCTCATCAGGAACATGGCAGCAGCTTAGCAGGAGAGGTCAGTGCAGTGAGCCAGAGGCAAGACAGAAATAGATCTCTAAAATGTACTTTGAAAAGAGAAAAATATGTGCATTGTTTTCAGGAGGCAAACAAGAATTCACATCTTAATGTTACGTATTGTTTATAATCATGCACATAATATATATCTTGGTATGTACATTAGTATTTGTATAAACATCTGTATACTTATATAAACATTATTTTATTGAAAAATGGTGACACACTAGCTTTTTTTGATGACTGCTTTCTTTTGTTCTGGCCACATAGAAATGATTCATTTGCACGATGAAGAAGACTGAAGAAGAACCATGAAAAATGTAATGTTAAATTTTCAGGAAATGTATAGTTTAGATGTTTCCATTCAGTAAAAAAGAGCTACTTATTCCTATATTTTATTTATTAGGTTCTGCAAGAAAGTGCCAGCATCCCTGGTTTGGAGCAACTGTCGGAGCCTTCAGACACCCATTTGATGCCAGAAGGTTCTCTTGGGGAGACAGGGCAGCTGACAGTGGCATTGGTGAGGAGACTGGAGGAGAAACATCCCAAGGCTTCTGCTCAGAGGTAGGGCACTGACAGCGCGGAGCTTCATTGCTCAATGACATTCCCTGTTTTCCTTCAGTTTCATGTAAGGTTGATTTCTTTTTTTTAAAGATTGATTTCTTAATGATTATTGTAATATCTCTAAAGCTCTTTGGCTTTCTAGCACAGTAGTTTTTAGGTCACATTTGATCAAGAGAGGTGACATTTATGTGTATTTCATTAAAGATCAATGTATGGTATTGTTTATAAGCATACTTGGGAAGGATTGCTGTCCTGAGATCGCACTACAGTAGCCTGAAATAACATAATTAGGGAAGACATAAGAGTATAAACAATTGTAAAACTACCAAGGGGTCTTTAAGATATTACATTTAGACCTAAGGATGAGTGCTCAATAGATGGTCTTAAGTAGTGATAATTTAACTGATTGACATACGTTCTGTTCCTAGAATAAAATGAACATCAGTGATTTTGCTAACCAATTGAAAATTATCCTTGGTTGGAAAATGGAAACTGTTTCTCTAATCCTCTTTATTTGATTAGAAAATTAAAGTCTATTATTATTTGGGGGGGGTTTGTTGTTATAAATTGCAAAATTACTTTATAAACTTCAATTTTAATATATAATTATTTGAAATTGACTATTGATTAAAGTACTTACCATACTCATTAAAGTTTAGGAGAATTCCTAAGTTTAAATATACTAACTATAGGTAGATATATCAGTTGAGTGAAAAAAAATAGCAACTTCTGTTTTCTTAAAAAAAATTTTTTTAGACAGCTTTATTGATATAGTTGGCATATAACACTGTGTAAGTCTGTGTGCAACATGACAACTTTTTATTTCAGTTAAAAACTTTCTTACAGTCTGAATTTACATATTCCTGCCTCAGAATTTGACAGAAAAGAAACTTTTTTTCCCCCTGATAAAAAAGTGACTCTTCAATTTATAGTCTCTTTAATTTGTTATTTAAACCTCAGATCCTTTGGTTTTATTGTTTTTAGTAAGATGGGGCACAGCTAAACAAAGTAACAAACTTAGTACCTCCCGTATCATATACTGGTACAGGGGTTTCCTGGAGCTGGATGAAAGCTTAAGTTCCAGGTCTTTCCCTGCTCCTTGCTTTTTAATCCTATACAAGGTTCTCAACTCACTGATGCTTCACAACAGGACCAAAGGCTACAGTTAGACAGCTAGGCCACTCTCTGCCCAGGTGACTGGATATAAGTCTCTTGGGATCCATGCTTGAAGTTTTCATGTAAAACAGGAACTCAGGAAATACTGGGGCACTGGGGAACTCAAACACTGTTTCCTGAGGCCGCTGTTGACCTATCTTTCCAGACTCATTCGGCAGCCACTGCTTTTTGAAAGAAGGCTGGGGCTTGTCATAATCCTACCTCTACTCAAGAAGGCACAGGTTCCTTCTGCTCTCAGATTTCTGAAACCTAGCTGGTGTTTTTGTGTTTGTCTCCTGCTGGCCCTGGCCCTGATAGGTCGGCATTCGGGGACCCCAGTGACAATCCACCTTCTTTTCTGTGACTCCCTCCTTTCCCAACCTGGAAATATTTTTTCTGGGCACTGAGGGCATTGGGTAGTTTAGGGATTTGTCTCCTGTGTTTTCTTGTTGTGTTTCCGTGAAGCAATATAGGCTGACGATGGAACATTGAGAGAAACGTTTATAGTATTAGAAAATGTGAGGCCACTCCCCAAACAAAGCAGTTAATGTCAGTTAACATACCACAATACCTGTTTGAGTTGTTAGAATTAAAAGTTATGTCTTTAAAATTCCAGAAATGTATAAGCACACAGTAATAGTTGTGAAAATGTTCTGAAAATAAGTAGAGGTACAAAAGAGTTTTTAATAGGGGTTGCATTTAGATTTATGATTTCTAGACAGTATGAATTGACTGGTAAATATGTTTGGGATTTATAAGGAATTTCCCAGGGCCCCCTCTTCTGGCCTTCTTTATTTTCCTTAAAGCCACAGGGATTTATCTGCATTCTCCTATCCTCCTCCACAATTTACCACAATAGATGCAATTTCAGTTTCTCTTTTTCTCTTCCTTAACAAATTTATTTTTAGTAAAGCATAAGTACTTAAAGCAATTACTTTCTTCCCACTTTGGAAGGAATCGTCGGGCAAAATTGGAACCCGGTACTGAATTTGGCATATTGATGACTTTGAACCTTAGGTTGTCTTGTTAGGTTTATACACTTTCCAAACATAAGGAAAATCAGTGCATCGTATTGTCACTGCCTCAATTTCACATTTTCTTGCTTTTTATCAATTTTACAAAATAAAGAATAAAATTGCTGCCAAAATTAAAGGAATAATGTGAAGTGATCTGAGTTGTGGAAATTTGAAAAGTAATTAGAATTTTAGAACAGGGAAAACATTAATGAGCAAATAATTTTAATAAAGAATATATAATTGAAAAGAATAAAAAATACAAAGATATAAATGTATGTACTTCCTTAGATATAGCCAAGGAAGGAGACAACCACAAGTGGCCCAATTTGGGGAAGACAGAAAGTCTGGTAGTAGCAGCAGGTATATGTGACAATGAGGGATAACATTCAATTATTAACATACTGGAGGCCTATGTATAGGTTCATGCACAGGTGGGGTCCCTTGGCCTGGCTGGAGATCAAGCCCTATCAGGGGGCCGGCCGGCAGGGGGAGGGACTGCGGGAGGTTGGACAGCCAGCAGGGGGGCTGGCCAGTTGTGGGGAGAGTCTGCGGGAGGTTGGCCAGCTGCCCCCCCCTCCCGCATTGGGGTCAATGGGGGGCTGGCCAGCCCTGGGGAGGTTGGCTGTGGGAGCGCACTGACCACCAGGAGGCAGCTCCTATATTGAGTATCTGCCCCCTGGTGGTCAGTGTGCGTCATAGTGACTGGTTGACTGGTCGTTCCAGTTGTTCTGGTTGTTCAGTCATAATGGTCGCTTAGACTTTTATATATATGTAGATACTGACTTTTCTTGAGGGCTTTATGTACATTACTTCCCAATAACCTATGAGGTATGTAATACTTTAACCTCTGTTTTACTGATGAAGAAATTTGGCACAGAGAGGTTAAGTTAGCTGGATAAGGCCTTCCAGCTAGTAATCCAAGTCAGGCTCCTCTGAGCCCAAAGTCTTACGGCTTCTCCTTGGTATTGTTCTGCCTGACCGTTCATGTTTTTGTCTTAGCGATTATTCAAATCTTCAGGTTTTCTAACAGGGCCTATTATTTTTGATTGGATATCTTGGAAAGGAACCTTTAAGTAAGGTGGAACAGTTTAGAAAGGGATTAATAAAAAATATGTCAATATATGCAGCTTTCAGCAAAGACAAGAAGTAGTAGAAAACATGGAGAGAGACTGTGAATGCCTGATTTCTTGTTGAATCCAAGTATAGATTTACTGGTTTATACAGGCTTACAAATGAAGGGTTTAGATATTTTTTAGCATTTTTTTGCAATTTTCTTTTCTTTTTATTATTATAATTATTGAATTTATTGGGGTGACATTGGTTGACACAACCTTACAGGTTTCAACTCAACAAAACATCCTCTGCACACTGCATTGTGTGTCCATCACCCAAAGAAAAGTTTCTTTCCATCCCTGTTTATCCCCCTGTTTGCCCACCTTCACCGACCCCTACTCCCCTTTTTCTATGGGCATCACCACACTGTTGTGTATATATGTTATATAACTTGTCATGATTAACCAGGATATTTCACACCTTGAATGGTGGTTCAGGTCAGCTTTGTATATACTGAATTTGGTGACAGGTAACTAATAGCTATCATTTATTAAATACTTATACCATGTGCCAACTGCCATCCTTAATAGTTACTTATAATAACGTGATAGATTGATTTACTTATTGCTATAAGATGATGGTAGAAATAACCTTATAATCCATGAAGAAAAGCATCTGAGGTTCAGAGTGGTTTTGTAATGTGCTCATTTATACAGCGGGTTAATGGGGAAGATGGGATTCGCACCCACACCCATTTAGATGTATAGCCCATACTCTTATCCACAGTTTTAGTCCTCCTTCCCAGCAGTTTTTACTCTATTGATTTCATAACAGAATGTTATCATACTGAGAAGCCATATTAAGTCATTACTAAAATTTTATGTGTATTACCTCATAAAAGATTTTATTAGGCCACTGCTATTTTTATTTGAGCATTATTTTGAATTATATTCTTAAAAAACTATATCGCCACAATCCAAACTGTCATCTAGTCAGAATCATTTCATTTATTTTATATTTCAAACACTT